CTGCAGATGAGCTGACCGCTACGACACCCACATGGAACCTGCCAGCAGGGAGCTGACCCCGCTAGACACACGATGGAACTGCCAAGTGAGGCTGCACCTGCTAGAACCACATGGAACCTGCAGAGTGAGTCTGACCCTGCTAGAACCACATGGAACCTGCAGACGCTCGGGATGACCCCCGCTAGACACCACATGGACTTCAGAGTCTGAAGCTGACCCGCTAGAAGCCACACTGGAACCTGCAGAGTGAGCTGACCCGCCTAGACCAATGGAACCTGCAGAGTGAGCTGACCCTGCAGAACCACATGGAACCTGCAGAGTGAGCATGACCTGCTAGAACCACATGGAAACCTGCAGAAGTGAGCTGACCCAGCAGTACCCCCTACATGGAACTGCAGAGTGAGCTGACCCGCTAGAACCTACATGGAACCTGCCAGAGTGAGCTGACTGCTAGAACCACATGGGAACCTGCAGAGTGAGCTGAGAGCTGGCCCTAGAACCCACATGGAACCCTGCAGAGTGAGCTGACCTGCAGAACCACATGGAACGCTGCGGAGTGACCTGACCTGTGCGTCCGATGATCTTCGGTTAGCAGTCACCCGACGGCCTGCAATGCTGAGTGATCCCTTCTTCGCCTCTTCCACCAGACATCAGCACTCGCCAGACAGGACACAACACACACACACAACACACAACATGCACACACCACCACACACACACACACCAACACACACACACACACACACACACCCACACACACACCACCACAACACACACACACACACAACACACACACACACACACACACACACACACACACACAAGCACCACACACACACCGCCGCCCAACCGCCGCGCGAAACCCGCGGCGCCCGCCACACACAAACATATATATAGTAAAAGAGGAACAGAAAGCTGCCCTTTTGGCACTCTGGCTGCACAATTCACTTTTCTTTAATTGAATGTAGTGGAATATCCAATATTTGGCAAAATATGATAGAAATATTGCATAAAAAACTGGTTCCCAGGGAAGCGTTGTCTACATACAACAATATTCTACAGACTAAATATAACAAAAATATTTGATTGTTAAAAAAACCTCAAACAAAAGAATCAGACTTTTATCGTTTCAAAAAATGTGTCAAATGGTTTTGTGAATATTGTTGACGCAGTTTTCCTCTGAATCAAAGTCAAGTACAAATAATTGTTAAAAATTCCAAATACATTTCCCTTTTGATTTGTGGCATTTTGCACAGACCGAGGCGTGGTGACACCGGCTGGCTGCTTTTCAAACATTCCCTAAAGCCACACTAAATATGAACATTGTATAAAAGCTTTACGAGGCAGTCCTCTTAAAACGTATTGGCTCTCCTTGACGGAGAATAAGAAATACACATGACCCCCTCGCCATTAAATGCTTTTTTTCAGCAGCCCTGACTCCCACCCAGCATCCTTCCTCCTCTCCCTCCCTACCTGCTGATGATGCCCTTCATCTGCAGGTCCCTTGTCGCCTGCTGTCTGCGCAGGAGCTCCTCGACTCCTCCAGTCGGGCCCTGGTACCCCATCAGGACCTTCTGGGCTATCGTCCTGGCCCTATCAGACGCGGCCTCGCGCGTACTCCTCACGCTCTGCCCACACACCCCGCCCCTGCAAGGCCCTCAGCTCTCCTGCAGCACCAGGATCTCCTGCTGGTACTCGCGACAGAGAGAGGACCATCATCATGTTCTGCTATTCACCCATCATCCCTCATCCTCATCAACCCTTATCAGCTGTGGACGCCTTCATTAACATAGCTACACAAGAAAGCAAAAGACATCTCTCAATGGGGCTGAGATGATATCCTGTTGTCCTGAGAGAGTGTCATTTAGACAGAGAAGGGAACCAAACGTTCATGTTACAAGCCATTTTTCATTATTGCACTCTTAACACTATTGCCTGGATAGCTCTGCCTAAAAAACGTGTTGGAAATCAATTATCCTTTTTTTCTTTTCAATCATTCACTTTAATCCATATAGCATGCTTTTATGGCAGAGAGTACATCCAGTGAGAACCTCTGAAATAACCCTTATTGAGAAGTCAAACTGAGCTTCAAATAGAGTGAGAAGAAAAGACAGACGCAGTTTAGGATGAAAGAGAACAAGCAGAGGAAGGGACAAGGAGGCTGGAAGTAGTGAAGTTAGGATCTAGTCTGTGAATAAGCCTCTGACAATCATTCTCTGCACTCGCTGGACCTCAGAGGCTTTTGAAGCAGCTTTCTTCGGGTGATGTGTGGAGAATGTCGTGGTGTAGTGTGCGGACTTAGTGAGAAATCCAATCTCTTCAGGATAGAGAAACATTCCGTACAGCAGTGGAGTGGGGCACTGTGATCAGTCGGCGTGAACACTGAGACCAGCGAGAGTGAAGCCAGACAAAGCCTACAGCCACTGCTAGCTAAGTGAGCTAAAGGCTAAACAACAACTTGCTCACAATGACACTTTAGCAAGATGCTTAATGTTTACAGGTTAAACTATAAATGATTCATACAATGGAACGAGGCAGAGAAATTGTGTCAGTAAACCAATTATTGCATATGAACATCTTGACCTGATGATAATTGAAATTTAGCCAATGTTCATTTCCAATTCTTCCTCAAAGGGACATGGACAACTTTCTATGCTCATGGATTTCCCTCCAGCAGTTAAAACATCTTATAATGATATTGACCAATAGAGGTTGTCATTAGGACTAAACCCTCCATGAATTAAACTGATGTCATGGCATTCAGGTCAGCTGACTGCTAATCACACACTTGCTTGAAGTCACGCTGCTAGCATGACTAAGAGGGGTGAAACAGATTGTTATACTGTCAGTATATATGTAGCACTGTTTGTTCTACCTTAATTACAATATCAATATCTTGGTCAGTTGTTTAAAGAAAATATATACTATACTTCTACATTAATCTCCTGTCTCTCATCGCACAACTACACAACATTCTGGTCCTCACCTACAAAGCACTCCACCATCTGCCCCCCCCCTTATCTCACACACCTTCTCACCCCCTATCAACCCCCACGGTCCCTCAGATCCACCCAGCCGGACTGCTATCCATTCCCACATCCACACTCTGCAGCTTTTGGGACAGAGGCCATTTGTCCATGTCGAGGAGGCTTGCTTGGTAGCACAAGTATGCTGGGTATTTAAACAGTGATTCGGCGCCTCCTCGATGACGTAGTATGCTTGAAATAGTGGCTCTGGAGCAGCTTTACTCGACATCGAGAAACGGCCATAGCCTTCCCAGTGGCAGCTCCTAGGCTCTGGAATCCCCTGCCCCAAGATCTTCGTGACTCTGAGTCCCTCACAGTCTTTCAGTCCCGCCTCAAAACACATATTTTCAATAGCCCCCCCCCCCCTCTCAATGAACTTTCTCTTGACTGCCTTTTCTGTTGATTGTATTTGACTATATTCATTTGTTTGCCTGTCCTTGTTTGTCTACCCTCCCTCATTCTGTAAAGCGTCTGTGAGTTGTAGAAATATCATGTGTTATTATAATTAAAGCTCCCTGCCCCTGTCAAAAGTCTTCTCTGATAATCCTGATACTAAATATTTTTAAACCAAAGAAATACAGCCTAAAAAATGAAGTGATGTTTTTTGCAGGGCGTCTAATGATAAGGTCCTCGTAAGATGCTTTTCAACAATATTTAATGTGAAGAAACCTATGTAATCTTTACTAGCATTTAGCTTGGGAACTTTATTGCATGTCATAGCTTAAATCTTTCAAAAAGTGTTCTTTGAAAGTGTATTGTTAAAGTGCATTTTAAAGGGTGTTCTAACCTATTAACACACTGTTTTGTTCTAGACCTGGTACCTGCAGAACAAAACTCAACTTAATATTATGTTTACAGCTTTGAATTAAGCAACACAAAATGTCAGAACAGCTTTTAAAATGATATACTTAGTAAGTTAAACTCAAATGTGTTTGTAATGTTATAGGCTAGAATCAACTATAACAAACTTATAAAGATACATTCAAGACATAGTCATCTATAAACTATTAGTTTATGATAAAGCCTAACAGTCTTATAATGCTATTATTTACAGTTATACAATCTTCTTCCCAGATAATAAAGTGAAACATCTTATAAGGAGTTATTGGGGCCTTCTTGCCAATGAAATAAGGCTTATTTCAAATGAGCAGTTGATCTGTGTTTTGTATGTTAACAGCTCATTAACGAAGAAGAACTAAGCAGGTCAAAGACTAACTGCCACATTCGACTTCTTTTTCCCCGTCAATCTCCTGCCCACTACTGGGACATTTTTCCCATCATGCCGCTCTTCCCGGGAGGAACGGTGACGTCAAATAGATGGATCTCATGGCCTTTTGTCCACTCCTCTCTGTATCTCTAACATCTCCTGCTCCTGCCGTGAGATCTCCAGGGAATACATGACATTTACTGCGTCTGGACCTGCCGCTGACAAACTCACCAAACATCCACTCTGTACCCCAATGTCTCCCTACCACGTGTGCATGTTTTAGAATAAGACTTACTGTAGATAATGTAAAAACAAGACTTAAAAAATACAACCTTTTAACATTTTCAGCGCCCACATGGAAGAGACAAAGACACCATGAATCGCTCTCCACGGTGCATTGTGCAGAAATCAAGTGTACAGTTAGCTATCAATACAAAATATATCAAAGTACCTAATACGATGCTGAAAGCATTTCAAGTGAACTGCCCGTGCCCTTGGCTCTCCCCTCTTACTGCCTCCTCTATATTTGGAATACACTGTAGGATAAACTCAGAGCAAATCAAACTATTAAAGAAGAATGAATGAACTGTACTCCCCTTCTGCTGTATTTCTTTTTCGGCCTTTTAAATGGTAGCTTAGCAAAGGGCTGCATGTCTTTTTGTGTGCAATAAAAGCTGTTACTAACTTATTATTTTACGGCTGTAACTGATGTGTTTATTATAAACAAGCACTGTTCATTTGAGTGTTTCTAATTGTTTCTTATCTTGACTTATGCCTTTGACATTTGACCAACTACAGATTAGAAAAGTACATCTGACTATATAACAAAAGAGGACTAAAAAACAGAGGCTTTACACATCGGTTAAAAAAGCAATAAAGATAAACTGATGTAAACATAATCCATAGGACAACTCACTGTTGTATGTCTTTATGTCAATTCAATTGGAATTATATATAGTTATCAAAAACAGTCAACCCTTGACTTCCTGCTAAATCAGAAATCAAAATAAAAATACACCGCACAAAAGATCTAAAATGGTAGTGCCTCATTTGTTATGCAATGAAACACTCAGTGGTACTCAACCGGGAAATTAATTTTATCCATTTATTTTGATATTTGAACTTCACAAAGTGTCTTATTATTGAACTAGCTTGTGTTGAAATGAGAACATGATGTATTGGAATTTCCTTTTTGAAGTCTACTCCTCCTATCAAGACACATGCATGCTGTAATTTGTTACAGATCTCTGAGCAGATACAGATCATGTAAATGTGTGTGAAGGCTGAAAATGGCTCCTGTAGATCTGTGTGTGAGGAGTGTGTGGACCGTTAGCTGCAGCCCTCCTCTTGTTGCGGCTCTGCTATTTTAAGGTGGCGGCGGCTTCTTTGTTAAGTCTTAAGTTATTTCCTTCTTTGGTTGCTCTCCCTGCCGCGGCTGCTGCCTTCCATAAAGTATGAGCTATGTTAGGATGACAGGCTTGCATTCATTATAGATGGAAAAAGAAGAAGTGGGGGAGCGTGTGGCAGCCAATCAAAGCATGGAAGCGAAGCTGAGGGTAGGAACAGCAAAAAATGCTTTTTCTGTCTCCATCCCTCACATCCATGCAAGCACACACAAGCTCCAACATGTCTGCGCTGTGTACTGCATGTGCACACACACACACACACACACACACACACACACACACACACACACACACACACACACACACGGCTTCATTCCAAAGATGGTAAGAGAGACGGGGGAAAATTGTGACACAACCACACCACAAAACACACCAGCCACACACACCACTCACCACACACACACACACGCTTCATTCCAAGAGGTAAGAGAAGACGGGGAAAACTGTGAGGTATGTCAAAAGGCGGGCGGAGGGACCCTTTCCTCTTCAATGAAGGAAGAAGGTTAAACACTACAACATCACA